CCAGCTCTAAATTACTTTTGATACCTAATACAATGTAAATGCTATGTAAATAGTTGTTACACTGTATCACTTAGGGAATAATGACAAGGAGAAAAAATCTGCATGTGTCTGGTACAGATGCCATTGTTTCTTGATATTTTTAATTCATGGTTTGTTAAATCCATGAATGTGCAGCCAAGGATATGGAAGGGCCAACTGTACTCAAGGAATGATGGGGACATGTCAAAAGGACAGAGGCACAAACAGCATCCACATTTTGGATACTTCAAGCATCTGAAGGAGCAATGTGGAGTATAACACATTGGACTGTTTTTTAATTCATGCACTTAGAGTGATATTAAACTAGGATGAGAGCAAAGGCTTTTTTTTCTTTTAACATTTTACTTTTAGATAGTTTCAAACTTGCAGAAAAGTTGCAGGAATACTACAAAGACTTCCTATGTGTATTAATCCATTCTCACACTACTAAAAGAGACATACCCAAGACTGGGTAGTTTTAAAGGAAAAAGGTTTAATGGACTCACCGTTCCACATGGCTGGAGAGGCCTCACAATGATGGCGGAAGGTGAAGGAGGAGCAAAGGCATGTCTTACATGGCAGCAGGCAAGAGAGTGTGTTTAGGGGAACTGTCCTTTATAAAACCATCAGATCTCATGAGACTTATTCATCATCATGAGAACAGCATGGAAAACCCCACCCCCATGAGTCAGTTATCTCCCACCAGGTCCCTCCCATGACACATGGGGATTATGGGAGCTGCAATTCAAGATGAGATTTGGGTGGGGACACAGCCAAACCATATCACTATGTTTACCTGGAGACTCATGAATGTTAACATTTTTACTTTATCCTCTTTACTCTCTGCCTATCCTCGCCTGTCTGTCTGCCTCTCTCTTGATATAATAATAATGATATATATTTCTTTAGACACACACATTTACCTGGTGATAGATACATTTTCTGAATCTTTGAGGGTAAGTTGTAGGCACTATATCCTCTTCACCTCTAAATACATCAGTGTATGCATCCTAAAAGTAAAGACATTCCTTCCATAATCTCAGTATGTGTCATAATCAGGAAATAACATTGATACAATGGCATTGTCTAATCTACAAGCCTTAATTATGTTTTTTTCCAATTGTCTCAATGATGTCCTTTATACCAAAATAAGAGGCAGGACATGGCATTGAGTGAGTTGTCCTATCTCTCCAGCCTCCTGTAGTCTGGAGTGGCCCTTCGGTCTTTCCTTATGTTTCACAACCTTGACTCTTTGGAGAATGCAAGCCAGTTATGTTCCAGAATGTGTTGCAGCTTGGGTTGGTCTAGTATTTTCCTTGTGATTAAATCCAGGTTATGCATTTTTGGTAGAAGTAATGTGTTCTTCTCAGTGCATCGTTACCAGGAGACATGTCATGTTGATTGCTCTAATTTCTTTTTTTTTTTTTTAAGTTCTAGGGTACATGTGTACAATATGCAGGTTTGTTACATATGTATACATGTGCCATGTTGGTGTGCTGCACCCATTAACTCGTCATTTACATTAGGTATATCTCCTAATGCTATCCCTCCCCCCTCCTCCCACCCCACGACAGGCCCTGGTATGTGATGTTCCCCTTCCTGTGTCTATGTGTTCTCATTGTTCAATTCCCACCTATGAGTGAGAACATGCGGTGTTTGGTTTTCTGTCCTTGCGATAGTTTGCTCAGAATGATGGTTTCCAGCTTCATCCACGTCCCTACAAAGGACATGAACTCATCCTTTTTTATGGCTGCATAGTATTCCATTGGTCTAATTTCTTATGATGTTAATTTTGATTACTTAGCATGTGAGCACATGTCTGTGGTCCCAGCTACCCGGGAGGCTGAGTGGGGAGGATCACTTAAACCCAGGAGTTCAAAGCTGCAGTGAGTCTTGATCACAGCACTGTACTCCAGTCTGGGTGACAGAGTGAAACACTGTTTCTATTTTTAAAAATATATATATTAGTTAATATAGTGTTTATCAAGTTTGTACACTAAAAAATGTAATTCTTCTTTGTAATCAATGAATATTTATGAGGAAATAATTTTCACTTTTGGAGTTACCTTTACGTCAGGAATAACTAGAAACCTCCACAAAACATAGGAAACAGTTACTTCAGACATTGGACATGCCTTTGCTCCCCCTTCAGCTTCCACCATGATTGTGAGGCCTCCCCAGCCATGGTGGAACTGTGAGTCCATTAAACTACCTTTCTTTATAAATTACCCAGTCTTGGGTATGTCTGTTTTAGCAGCATGAAAACAGACTAATAGACGTAGGAACTCTTTGTACTTTCCTGAAGCTTTTCTGTGAGTTTGAAACTATATAAAAGTAAAATGTTAAGAGGCAAGTCAGATCTGTGATCCCCAAGAAAAGGGTGGCGAGTGAGGTGAGCCCTACCCTGGCCTTGGTTTTCTGCTTGGACATAATTCCTGGACTGTGCTGTAGTCAGGGGGACCCAGTAAGTGCCCGGTCTCACTGATTCGAGGAGACAAAGATCAGAGCTTGAGGAAATGACGCTTATTAAAAAATAGACATCGAAAGAATATTTCTGCCAGAAAAATTCCAGCACTTCTTAAAGAAATACAACAAAATTCAGCACCCAACAACATAAACATTTAATGTCTAGCATTCAATAAAACATTCTTATACATATAAAGAAGCAGGAGAACGTGAGCCACAATTGGGAGGAAAATCAGTCCACAGAAGCAGACTAGCAAATGACAGAGGTGGGAGATTCTATAGGACAACTGACCTGGATGTTTAAAAAATGTTAGTGTCATGGAAGATTGTTCTAGATTGAAGGGCTCTAAAGAGACATGAAAACCAAATGCAATCACATGTGATATGTGATCCCTGAATGGATCTTGGAGTAAAAAAAAAAAAAAAAAAAACCAGCTGTAATAGACATTTTTTGAAGCCTTGGTGAAATTTGAATGTGGATGAAATATTAGAAAACCTTCTATCAATGCTAATTTTCTTAGGCGTCATAATGGTATTGTGTTATGCAGGTGAATGTATTTGTTTTTGGAGAAACCTTCTGAAGTATTTCGAGATATCATCCCTAAAGTGATATGATCCCTGCAATTTATTTATTTTTATTTTATTATTTTTTTTAAAAGTTTTAGTTGTGGTTAAAAATACATGTAACATAAAATTTACTGTCTTAACTATTTTTAAGTTCAGTAGTGTTAGGTATATTCGCACAGGTATATTTCATACTGTGTCTCTGAAATAAAAAAGACTGGAATAATTCCCTTCTATCCATGCCTTTCTCTTAATTGGAGCTTGGGGGTGCTTAGACTTATCTCCATGTTACTCTTCCAATTCTTAGAGTCCCTCTCTCCCCCTAAACAATGCTGTACACACAGGAGGCTCGGTGAGTTGTGGATTTAGTATGTTGTAACTCTACACCATACAGGATTAGATTCCACATCGATTTTTACATCAGCCCTGCAGCCCCAAGAGATAAGAGATGCTTTGAGGGCTATCAGAGAACTCCCTCTATTCTGAACATACCTTGAGCTGAGAATGTAAAGCCCTGGGACTGTCCTTTTCCTGCTTTAAACTCTTTGGTGTGATGATAACAAGCTCAGCCCACAGTCCTTAGATAACCTGTGCTTGTATTGCGTATGGAAACCACAACTCCGCCAAAGCCGCAATTTAATAGGTACTTAGTTCTGAGTGACGACAGGTAATTATTTTGCCATCACAGGCTACGATCTATTAGAACTCCATTCTCTAACAGTTACTAGGTCCTCACTGCCTTGAAATCAGCCAGAACAAGTAACCAATCCCAGTTCCCATCCTGGAGGTCGTGTTGCCTGCAGTTGTTTCTGGTAACAAATCTGAGGTTAATTGGGATTCAGTTGCCGATGATTAGGGCCTCTTCAGTTGTTTGGAGGAGAAAGGAATCTAATACAGGAAACTGTGTGATTCTCAAGCCATTGGAAGGCTGGAGGCAGCGCCTCCAGCAAGGACTCGTAGAAGAATACTGCAGAGCTGGCTCCTGAAGGAAGCTGCCGAGTGAGGCTGGCCCTAGAAGCATGCTTTCTGGGTTAAATGCTTTAGGTTCACCTCTGCAGATCCACTCCCCACCATTTTCTCTCCTGACATCTATGGACCACAGCAGGGGACTTCTTTTCTCTGGCTTCTGGCTGGATGTAGCCAGGGGAGGCCCTGGCAGGAGGGAGGAGAGTGAGGCCTGGTCATTGATTTGCCCAGCTGTGCCCTTCTGCTGGGTCACCATGAGCTGGCTACCAAAGGCCACAGCTCCTATCCCAAGGCCCCTCTTAGAGCTTTAGTGATTCTGTTCCTGGACTCTGCCACCCACTCCCTCCTTTGCCGTCTAGGTTTTAAAGAAGTAACAGCTCCCCCATATTGCTAGCCTGGGTTGCAGCACCGTTTCTTCTGCGTTCCTTTAACCCTGCCCCAGCTGTCCCTTTATTAAACAGTCTTCAGTTAGCACATGCGAAAGCGCCGTCTCTCGGCTGCTGGGACTGGGGCTGCTACACGTACATGGCTGTGATCCAGAGTCAGAAGCCACCACCAGAACCACTGGGTCCAGAGCTGGGCTGAGCCTGCTACACACACCCCAGCAAAATAGGTCCTGCATGGTGGCTCCTCTCCCCACCTGTCACAAGCCCCAGTCCAGCACGGGCACATCAGAATGGCAGGGACTGATTCATGCACCTCAGTTTCTTCCTCTGTAATATGGGGGTGATGATTGTACCTACCTCACAAGGAAGTTTCCAGTAAAATGAAAGCCCTTAAAATTATGTTTGTTTCATCACCAATGACTCCATAAATATTAGCAACAATACCAGTACTAAGTTTTGTCATTTTTATATTAACTTCTCGTAAACAACCCTACTTTCCTGCTCTCACACACTCCTTACACCTGCAGCCCACCTCATTTAGCCACTTTCTACCTAACCTGTCAGAAAGGGTGGATAGCTTCCCAGTCACCTGTTGCTAGGGAAACACCATTTCAGCCCGGATGGTGAAGATTCCAGCTTGAGAGACCAGCTCGGGTCTGAAGTGTTTCTCTGACTATCTGCTGTGCTAAGACCTCTCCTTCTCGAACCCTTCTACGCCTTTGCATACGCTGTTTTCTCCATCTGCCACGTTCTCACCCCTTCTTTTGCTGCAAACTCCTATGCAACCGTCAAGGCCCCATTCTCCTCTGGAAAGCCTTCCGGATCCCCTTGGCAACAACAACCATCAATATTTATTCGCTGAGCCCGCTTCGTGCCAAGCATTGTTCTAGACACGGGTATGTAACCGTGATTAAGAGAGACCATAGCAGCTCTCTCATTGTTCTAGACACATGTAACCGTGATTGAGAGAGACCATAGCAGCTCTCTCATTGTTCTAGACACGGGTATGTAACCGTGGTTGAGAGAGACCATAGCAGCTCCTGAGGAGCAGAAGTCTGGTGGGAAGGCGGGCGTCACACACCAGCTGACCGACCAGCTGAGCCAATAATGCCCTGGGTTTGAGTGCCGTGAAGGAAACCTCCAGGGGCCATGGTAAAGAATTATAGGGAGGACCTACTTCAGGGAGGGCAGTCAGGGAAGGCTTCCCAGAGGAGGAGGCATTTAAGCAGGTGTGAAGGATAGAGACTCAGCCACGTGAAAACTGGGGCAGGGGCTTCTAGGTGGAGGGAACAGGACATGTGAAGATACCAAGGCAGGGAGGCAGGTGGTCGCCGTGGCCGGGAGAGAGGTTGAGGGATGAGGACGCAGGTGTGGCTGGCAGCTTACTTACGCTAGGGCTCATGGGCTGGGCTGCACAGCCTGGATTTTATTTTAAGAGCTATTGGGCGCCGTTGGTGGGTTTGAGTGAGTGGGGACAGGAAGTGACTCACTCCTCCGAGGGCTTGTGGGAGACTCAGCTCAGGGGCAGGCAGGGGGCGTGGGGAAGGCTGCAGCTCAGAGTCCAGGTAGGAGGCTCCTGCGTGGTCCTGGAAGAGGAACAGGCCTGGCCCAGGGCGGGGTGTGGAGGTGGCAGGACGGCGGTGCGGGATGGAGCGTGGCGGCCAGGCCGACAGGTGCTGGTGGTGGGTTGTGGCGGTCGACCCCAGGCTCTGGCCTAAGTAGCTGCCATTTTGGAGGTGAACAGCCTGCGGGCAAACTGGCGTGATTTGGGGAAGGCGTGGAGAGGGAGAGAAATAGAAGCATTGAGTTTAAGTGGCCTGCAGAACCGCTGGGGCCCAGGTGGCACGGCGGGCGCTGGGGCCCCGGGCAGAGCTTTCTGTAGGTTTGTGGCAGCTTCACTTTCACGGCATCCGCCCCCTTGGGCCCTGCTGCAGAGAGGAGGAAGCTCCTGCCGGCTGAGCGGGCCCTGGAGGAAGTGAACAGCGGGGCTCCTGCCTCCTGGCCTGGTCCCCAAAGCCCCCAGAAGAACCCGGAACCTGCTTTCATTCGGAACCCAGGGACCACACTTTGCACCCAGTAGGCCTTCGTTCTCCTGCGTGGAGAAAGTGGTTGGGTGAGTTCTGGCATCGGGGCCACCACACTTGGGTGCTGGGGGTCATGGAGGGAGGGGCCCAGACACCACCTGGGAAGGATCCCAGAGTGCAGTCCCAGCCGAGGCCACCTGGGGAAGGGAGTCGGTAAACTGGGACTTTGAGTCCCCATGGCCCCTCCCGCTGCCCCTGCTCGGAGGCTGCTCAGAGTCCTCCCGCCCTGTTCTACGGAGGAGTTTACTGTCCCTGAACTTCAGCCAACCCCTCCATCTCCAGGTGAAGAAACTGAGGCCCTGGGGCCAGGAAGGGGCTTGCCCAGGCTGCTGATCCCTTTGGGCAGCATTGAGTCCAGGCCCTCCTTGTAAGCTTGCATCCAGGACCAGAGAGGGCAGGAGGTTTGCCCAACGTCACACAGCCCGAGTGAGGAGGAGCTGGCCTGGGACGCAGGCTTCCTGATGCCCAGGCCGGGTGCTTTCGTCTTCTCTGACCATGGCCCTCAGCTTGGGGATTAAGGGGCTGGGAGTTAGCTGGGCTCCCCACCACCTCCACACTAAAGGGCAGGATGGAGTCTGGAATCCCCCACCCCGGGCTGGCTGCTGGTCTGACACGACTGGCTCCGGTCGAGTGAATGCCTCCGTCTCCCACAGCTCTGGGGGCTCCCTGCTCTGGCCACCAACTTCTGCTGTGTAATCCCCCACCCCAATGTCTGATTGAGTTTGAAAACACTGAGAAGACCCAGGGACTGAAGAGGGAGGAAGAGGGAGGCCAAAAGGCGCCAGCCGAGCCGGCGAAGCCTTTGCGGGAGAGGAAGTGAGCCAGGGGAACCGGAAGGAGGGCTGGGCTGGCCTCTGGGTCTGCCCCTGTCCTGGGCATGTGGCGAGCCCAGCCTTCTGCCCATAATGAGGACGAGGAAGATGAACAGTGCCTCTGTCAACCCTGGCCCTTCCGGTTTATGGGATGGGAGATGTCACCATTCCATGCATCCCCCTCAGCCAGCCCCACACAGGCCGACTGGGGAGGTTTCCCTTGAGCTCAACCTGACAAGCTCTGAGGAGTGAGCTGTACCTGCTTTGTCCTGACTGTCTGGGGTGGGGTGGGAGCCCCTGGGTAGAGGGCTGGGGGCAAGAGCGTGGTGGGCAGCCGCTCTGCACCTGCCTGAGGAAGGACCACTTCCCCACCAAGTCTGCTTGGCTGTGTCCGCCCTCAGCTTCTGTGCCTTTTTCTACCCCATCACCCCGTAAGGGTTGGTTCAAGGGCTCTTTCTCAAAGGGCCCGTACCCCCCACCTAGGCTGCCCCTGGAGCCCGGCTTCTACCCTCCTCCAGCTGACCGACCAGCTGAGCCAATAATGCCATGGGTTTAAGTGCCGTGAAGGAAAGCTCCAGGGGCCATGGTAAAGAATTATAGGGAGGACCTACTTCAGGGAGGGCAGTCAGGGAAGGCTTCCCAGAGGAGGAGGCATTTAAGCAGGTGTGAAGGATAGAGACTCAGCCACGTGAAAACTGGGGCAGGGGCTTCTAGGTGGAGGGAACAGGACATGTGAAGATACCAAGGCAGGGAGGCAGGTGGTCGCCGTGGCCGGGAGAGAGGTTGAGGGATGAGGACGCAGGTGTGGCTGGCAGCTTACTTACGCTAGGGCTCATGGGCTGGGCTGCACAGCCTGGATTTTATTTTAAGAGCTATTGGGCGCCGTTGGTGGGTTTGAGTGAGTGGGGACAGGAAGTGACTCACTCCTCCGAGGGCTTGTGGGAGACTCAGCTCAGGGGCAGGCAGGGGGCGTGGGGAAGGCTGCAGCTCAGAGTCCAGGTAGGAGGCTCCTGCGTGGTCCTGGAAGAGGAACAGGCCTGGCCCAGGGCGGGGTGTGGAGGTGGCAGGACGGCGGTGCGGGATGGAGCGTGGCGGCCAGGCCGACAGGTGCTGGTGGTGGGTTGTGGCGGTCGACCCCAGGCTCTGGCCTAAGTAGCTGCCATTTTGGAGGTGAACAGCCTGCGGGCAAACTGGCGTGATTTGGGGAAGGCGTGGAGAGGGAGAGAAATAGAAGCATTGAGTTTAAGTGGCCTGCAGAACCGCTGGGGCCCAGGTGGCACGGCGGGCGCTGGGGCCCCGGGCAGAGCTTTCTGTAGGTTTGTGGCAGCTTCACTTTCACGGCATCCGCCCCCTTGGGCCCTGCTGCAGAGAGGAGGAAGCTCCTGCCGGCTGAGCGGGCCCTGGAGGAAGTGAACAGCGGGGCTCCTGCCTCCTGGCCTGGTCCCCAAAGCCCCCAGAAGAACCCGGAACCTGCTTTCATTCGGAACCCAGGGACCACACTTTGCACCCAGTAGGCCTTCGTTCTCCTGCGTGGAGAAAGTGGTTGGGTGAGTTCTGGCATCGGGGCCACCACACTTGGGTGCTGGGGGTCATGGAGGGAGGGGCCCAGACACCACCTGGGAAGGATCCCAGAGTGCAGTCCCAGCCGAGGCCACCTGGGGAAGGGAGTCGGTAAACTGGGACTTTGAGTCCCCATGGCCCCTCCCGCTGCCCCTGCTCGGAGGCTGCTCAGAGTCCTCCCGCCCTGTTCTACGGAGGAGTTTACTGTCCCTGAACTTCAGCCAACCCCTCCATCTCCAGGTGAAGAAACTGAGGCCCTGGGGCCAGGAAGGGGCTTGCCCAGGCTGCTGATCCCTTTGGGCAGCATTGAGTCCAGGCCCTCCTTGTAAGCTTGCATCCAGGACCAGAGAGGGCAGGAGGTTTGCCCAACGTCACACAGCCCGAGTGAGGAGGAGCTGGCCTGGGACGCAGGCTTCCTGATGCCCAGGCCGGGTGCTTTCGTCTTCTCTGACCATGGCCCTCAGCTTGGGGATTAAGGGGCTGGGAGTTAGCTGGGCTCCCCACCACCTCCACACTAAAGGGCAGGATGGAGTCTGGAATCCCCCACCCCGGGCTGGCTGCTGGTCTGACACGACTGGCTCCGGTCGAGTGAATGCCTCCGTCTCCCACAGCTCTGGGGGCTCCCTGCTCTGGCCACCAACTTCTGCTGTGTAATCCCCCACCCCAATGTCTGATTGAGTTTGAAAACACTGAGAAGACCCAGGGACTGAAGAGGGAGGAAGAGGGAGGCCAAAAGGCGCCAGCCGAGCCGGCGAAGCCTTTGCGGGAGAGGAAGTGAGCCAGGGGAACCGGAAGGAGGGCTGGGCTGGCCTCTGGGTCAGCCCCTGTCCTGGGCATGTGGTGAGCCCAGCCTTCTGCCCATAATGAGGACGAGGAAGATGAACAGTGCCTCTGTCAACCCTGGCCCTTCCGGTTTATGGGATGGGAGATGTCACCATTCCACGCATCCCCCTCAGCCAGCCCCACACAGGCCGACTGGGGAGGTTTCCCTTGAGCTCAACCTGACAAGCTCTGAGGAGTGAGCTGTACCTGCTTTGTCCTGACTGTCTGGGGTGGGGTGGGAGTCCCTGGGTAGAGGGCTGGGGGCTGCAAGAGCGTGGTGGGCAGCCGCTCTGCACCTGCCTGAGGAAGGACCACTTCCCCACCAAGTCTGCTTGGCTGTGTCCGCCCTCAGCTTCTGTGCCTTTTTCTACCCCATCACCCCGTAAGGGTTGGTTCAAGGGCTCTTTCTCAAAGGGCCCGTACCCCCCACCTAGGCTGGCATGATGACGTGCCCCTGGAGCCCGGCTTCTACCCTCCTTCTCTGCCTGCAGGTCTAGAGGAAATGAGGGGCTCAGTGAGTTTGGGGTTTCTCAGACCTTGACGTCCTCTCCCGTCTCCTCTGTACAGGATTGGGAGGTGATGGAGCTGGAGTCCTTGTATGACCTGCTGCAGCTCCCCAAGGGGGTGGAGCCCCCAGCGGAGGAGATGCTCTCACAAGGTGTGTGCCCACACGGGTCTGAGGGCGGAGGGTGAGGGTCTGCATGGCAAGAGCGAGCCTGGCCATGCCTGGGACATGCAGTGCCTTCCCAGCTGTCAGCTGAGTGCCCAATTCTGCTCACCCCTGCCTCCGCCTTCTGCTTTATGCTTGACCCAACCCCTCCTCCTGGAACCTTCTGCAGAGCTAGAACCTCTTCTCTCCAGGTGAGAGACGGTGTGGATTACAATGGTGAATACCGATTGCTCTCGTCCTGGGAGCCTTCTGTGTGCCTCTGCTACACCAGCACCTCTTACCTATAGCAACTCGTTTATTCCCAAGGGTGGGCGTCATTGCCTACTTTATACAGATGAGGAAACTGAGGCACAAGGGATAACATGCCACAGCAACAGGAAACTCTTAGCAAGTGGTGGAGCTGGGTTCTGAGCCCAAGGAGGGTGGTCCCAGAACTGGGGTTCCACACGCACCACACAGCGAAGCCCACCAGGCAGCGATGCCCACCCCACAGCGATGCCCACCA